TAGGATGGACCATATCCCTGAATGGTGCTTTCAGTATGTCTAGTGGCTTTTAGTGGCATTGAGTACCATGTACAGCTTTCCTGTGAGCCTTGTTATTTGTGCTTGCCTCAAGCCATCGATACTGCTAGTAAGCAAGAGAAAAGAGAAGGGCCCTGTTGAGGTGAATAGAAAAGTTCTGATTTTTGTCTCATCCAAGTTATTGCTTTGTCTGCTTGTTTGTGAAAATATCTGGAGGACATTCAACAAAACAGTTTAATTGTCTGAACTAATGTAGATTGAAGAGGCTAGGTCTTTAACCTCAAAGAGCAAAATACAAGACCTAATACTCTTCTCATAAATACATTTACTTGGAAATAAAACCCAGGTAATTTCAATAGAACTTAAGTCCAGGTAAATTATTTAATATAGCAAACTGATTTTTCTTCTGTGTAACATAGAGATTGGAAACATTGTCATAAAGCATCAGGCGTTTATAAGATTTAGGTCCTGAATATTAACTGCTGTTTCTTTGTATGTTTAACACCACCTGTTTTGTCCCGAAGCGTTAAACCCTTCTAAGTTAATCTCTTTGTTTAGTGCACATGCTTAACTTGCACTTGTATTTCCTTAGCTGACAAAACACCTCCCTCCTCGAACTATTGGCTATCCATGGACCCTTGTCTACAGTACTGCAAAGCATGGCATGAGCTTGAAGACTTTGTACAGAACTATGACCGGCTTGGACACACCAGTACTGCTGGTTATCAAAGACAGTGATGGACAGGTGTGGAAATAACAATGGTCACTTTTTCTTTCCTTTGCTCCCCATCTTCCCCATAACAAATCGTAAACTTTAAGACATCTTAGCTATCTTACAGGAAAGCTCAATGTTGTTTTAATTTTTTAAAAAGAAAACTCAGTGTGGTAGGCTGAACATGAACATAGTAATGCAAAACACCTATAGCATTTGAAATGATTACTCCCTCCCTCAAGCTGAGCTCAAGTCCTGATGCTCTGTGGCTGTTGCCATGCAGTGTCCTTGGCAATAACACAGAAGGGGTTTTCCACTGCCCTTCAAGTTGGCACTTTAAAGAGGAAGTGACTTACTGCAGTAGATTGAACTGGA